AATAATCCTAAAAGCCTAAAGCCAAAAAATGAGATCTAATCACAAGCACCTTTCCCTGTAATTTTTATTTCTGAAAAATTGATTTCTCATCAAATCTTCCCAGTTTTGTTTGATTTTAATAATCAACAATTATCAAGAAGAAAATTTTGGCTCCCACATTGCCTTTGAAAGTCACTCCTATTGTTTTGTACAGGGCCATAAGCAAGCTTGCACCGACACAGAAGGAAAGGGTTTTCACCTATTGGACTGGTGTCACCTGGAGCTTTCAGGTGAAGCAAAAATTTTGGCTTCATTTGTGTTCAAGTGGAAAAACGTTGGAAAAGTCCAGTAAGTCCAAAATTGTAAGTCAATCAGCCCTGTTTCGACAGAAGAAATGGCCATACAGAGACAAAGGGATTTGTGGCTGAGCCACAATTCCAGCTGGTTACAGATGAAGGGACACGGTCCCCACCACGAACTCTCAACAGAGGAAATCCTCATCAGTGCTGTGGCCTCCCTGTCTTTTCAGTTCTGCCACATAGACAAGAGATAGAAATCTATCAAGTTAATGATTAGTGTATTTTCTCAGATAGCTGCTCCTGATTTGTTGACTGCAACACAAAGTGCTTCCTTCTATTTTCTCATTTACTCCTTCCCAGTACTTTTGGTAGCCAAGAGGCAGAACCAAGAATAGCTTGACCTGGGCTGCTTCTTAAGAGATGAAGACAGGCTGTGTGTTGACTCATGCTCCACCCCTTCATAATCATGTGACTTGAGGATAGTTAATTGTGAAACAGGAATTGTATCTCCTACCACACAGGGTTAGAGAAGATAATGTATGCAAAGCACCTGTACATATCAGGCACACAACAAATGTGAATATCCTTCCTCATATAGATCCATAACCACGGAGAGAACACTGCTTTCATACTTCATAGCGTTTTTCCATTTACACTATTCCAGTTAATCTTTATGATATTATCCACACTCATAAGTAGCCAAGCTCATACTCAAATAACAACCTCTGACTCCAGCACCAATGTCTTTTCTAGTATGCTGCCATAAGGGGGGTGGAGAGGTGGCAAAGGGAACACAATTATCTTACTGTATCATGAAGTCCTGTGGGTTGGGGTGGGGGGCATAGTCTGAACTGGAAAACAACAAAGAAGCAAGAATAGATACACAAACAAACCACCCCACTTAATAGGGTAAGTAGTAGAGAGGTAAGCTGGTGTGGGGTTCAAAGCATTCACTGCAAAAAGCTGTAAAAACAAAAGTGAAAATACAACTACAATATCCTAGGTTCTAAATCTTTATAAGGATACACTTATTTTAGGTTAGTCAAAGAAAAACTTATGAAAATGGTAGGCTTACAAAATACTAGTCTAAGGTTGAGAGAAGCTTCCTAATTGTCATTAATCAAACATTTCCAAGCCACATTTCAGTCTGCACTGAAAATTTTCATATACTTTGCTTCATTTTATCCTCATGATAACATTCTTAGATAGCACTGTATTTATAACATAAGCAAACAGATTCCATGAAAGTTAGCAGGACTGAGAGAAAAACCTAAATCCTATAAATTCTATATCTTGTGCTCTTCTAGCTCGTTTCTGTACAGTCACAGAAAAAGAACAGGTGAAATGGCCCAAGCTGCAACCAAAACTTTTAATTAAAACTCAAGAGAGAACTAACATATGTTAAGTTGGCTAAACCTGAGTTTGCACAGATTGTGAGAAATGCCTAATTAGAGACTTCTGAAGTCAGACTGATAACAAAAATAATTAGCTTATAAAGACATGGAAAATAAATGATTGGCTTATGAAAAAAATTTTTAAGTTGTCCCTGGTCTATTAGAGAAGTCAAACTAAAAAAATAAGAGATTTCTACTCCCACACTTCCATGATTCCATACAATTAAATAAACTTTGAGTTTATTATTTGCCATTTTTAAACTTCAAATTATCTAATAAGACAAATTTAAAACAATCCAAATTGACCATTTTTCATCCATAAATATGATGCTTATTTCTCGCAGCATTTCTATTCTATTACTTACTTCAGGCAAGTCTTTGCCAAGAACTAAAATATAAGGAACTTCCCAAGAAGCTGGAGTTTGTGGGAATGGCATAAGTTGAAGGAGTAAGGGTTCTTTAATTTTGGTAAAAGTGAAGGACAATTAAGGTAGAGTGTTGGAAATGGGCTCTGAGAGCCACGGTCGGTCTGATAAGGGTGGGGGAGTAGGAAGAGCTGAGTGATAAATCAGGAGCCAGGGCCACGCAGAAAAGGACAGATGTTCCCATTTGTTCCAGTGATGACTACAGCTTGGGCCATATTTGACCTAATTATCACAAAATAGAAAATCTGCTTGGAATTATTACTTTTTTCCCCCCTGATTAGACCAGTGTGGCATCCTTTAAATATAAAGTCATTTGGATCAATATTGCTCATAAAGTCTAGTTCAAGGTTTACATGAACTCCGCCCAAGAACACTTTCACCGCGTGAATTCCTTGTCATCTCTCAATGATTTACCAGTCACTGAGTCCACAGAAGAACTCAGGAAACTGCATCCTGAATGCCCTATAAAAGGCTGCCAGATGTAGCAACTGGGTAACCCTAACCCCAGATGATTCTATGAGAGTACAGTTTGAAAAACACTTATCTGGATTAAAAAAAGGGAAAGAGTGAAATGCTTATTTGTGAGGATGCGCCAAACATTTTAAAAAGAAAGGAAAAAGAAGAGAAGCCCCTCACTGTGTAACTACAGACTGGGAGCTGACTGCTTCGCGCTTCAGTCTCCTCCTCTGGAAAGTGGAAAGAAATCACTCACAAGGCCTACTAAGCCCCTCACCATTCTGAGCTTCTGCTCAGGGTGCTCAGGCTTCCTCAGAGGGGATGCTGAAAAGCACAGGAAAGTCAGCAAAGGCCCTTTGGCCAGGACAACAGCAGCTTGCTCCGGGGATGAGCGTCAGGTCCACCTGACACCACTTCTCGGATGCCTCTGGCATTTGACCTTTTCCTTTCCTTCCTAGGCTGGCGCATGCAGAGAACAAGAGCATTAAAAACAATGAAATATCATTTATCAATCAAGTTTTTAACTATAAAACAAAACAACAACAAAACTGAAACACTAAAAACAAACAACAAAAGAGTCCCAATAGCTTTGTGAGAAATATCATCCTCATAAAACCTCATAAAGTCTTTAGGATGAAGCACAATGCTTAGGATCCAAAGGGGAGGGGAAGGTTCTTCTAGGTTTTTCACTTTTTCCCCTAACCAGCTTCCAACCAAGCTTTCAGTTAAGATATGTAGATCCTGCATCACACGAAGAGTTGCAGTTCCTAAAGAACACTGTCTAATATTCAGCTATGTAGTAAGAGGCATCAAATGTGTGGAATTTGCATGGAAAGGAGGCTGCAGATGACATGAAAAACTTAAACAGAAAAGCCATAGCATTATTGAATAGCACTCAGTAAAATATTTCACTGCAGAAAGCAGGGGAGTTCAGAGAAAGTGGTCCAGGAGAATAGAAGAATGGAGGTGGGGATAGAAAAGATATGTGAGGGAGTTTGCCAAGATGAACTTTGACTACTAGCATTATCCTAGTGGTTAACAAATGCCAATCATGGCTCTGCTGCCTGTTACCTCCTGCTCTGAGTGGCCAATGTTGGAACATGTCAGTTTATACAAAGGAAAAAAATCACTTGTATAAACTGAAAAATTAGTCATGTTGAGTTATAAAAGTTATATACTTATAAAAATAAGTATAATCTCACTTAGTGCAAGGGGAACCCATTGATTTTGTTTGCTTAAGTTTTTCTGCTGTATGATTGTCACAAGTTGCTTCACTAGTAACAGATATGAGTTGAATCCCATCTGACGTCTTCCCCATGTCAAGGGCTTTCTTTTGTACGTTTCCATTTAATGGAGCTATTGGACCACTGGAAAGCAGAGTCCTTCCTTATGCAAGCTACACATGGCACTTTACAGAAGGAAGGGAGACACCTGATTCACACGACCAGGCACAACCAAGGGAGCATGTGAACTTCCAACAAAAGAGGAAGCTTTGTACCAGATGTGAAGAAGTAAAGTTTATTTTTCCATTTAGTTTGTTTATTTAAGTAAGAAGGGAGGAGGTAGGCACTGCTTCCCATTCCAAACTGCTCAGAGAATGACTTTCTTTCTTTACGAACGAGCAACGTTGGCTATTGCAGTTTCCAGAGGGATCTGGAAAGGCACGGAGTCACCAGTGATTACATTTCATCTGTAGCTGGTTTAACCTTTGAAACCTGCCTATAACAGAGGAGCCTGAGAAAGAAGGTCAGTGCAGCCTTGACCTTTAGTGTTCTCTCACCGTTTAGATGGAGAAGCAGTTATTAAGGAAATTATTTTAAGAAATGCAAAACACATGATAAGGCTCATAATCAAGGTCATTGTAAGATTTGTTTACACATGCAACAACTGAGAAGCTCTCAAATCTTAGGTTAGCTTATTTTCCCTTTTAATCACAGTGTATAAGCAGTGAAGTAATAGAATATTTACATTTAAAACAAAATAATCAAAGAAAAACACCTCTTGTCCTTGATTCATCTATCTTTTCACATTATTTTGGGCTGGCAGACTATTTGTTTCTAGAATGAAGACCTTCTCTGTATGCCCCAAAACACACAGGAACTTTTTTATAAATTGTTGAAGCATTCCTTTTAATGTTGAAGGTATAATATGCTACTAATAAACAGAATTACACACACCACAACATTCATTGTTGTGCATTCAAAATACACCTAGTATTTATTGGATTTTTAAGAAGTATTCATTATCAAAAAGGTCAGGCTACAAAATGTTAAATGACCTTGTTACATTTATTAATCCATCCTAAAAATGCTACAGCTCTCCTTTCCCAGTAATAACCCTGTGTCCTGCTCATTACTGAGAAAGTGAGAACACCATCACTAAGATTAATGGAACACTGGTTAAGTATTTTAGGTACAAATGACCTACTTTTATGTACTGCCAGAACAACTCAGCAAGGGTTTAGGAAGGAGAAAAACAGAAGTTCTTTTCCATTGAATTCATACAGCTGGTGGGTAATCAATTGATTGTTCTTCTTTAACAGCAGAGTCAGAAAGACAAAAAGAAAACATTTTCTATAACTGGCTATTTTTTTTATTAATTAGTAATCTCTTTTCTTTAAATGTTTTGTCATGCAGATAAATTACCTTCAGTTTTAATTAAAGCTCTTCCAAAGATTAACTTATCCCGCTAAAAAAGACTCAAAGAGGAGCAAAATGGGGATTACATTTTCCTCCAGCAAGATAAAATGCAATAAAATCATCACATCTCTCTTTATAAAGGAAGAAGAAAAGAGATTGCATCTACTCCCTGAACTTCTATTTTCCTGAAATTGCTTCTTCAACAATTGTGTTTCATGAAAATCGTCACCTATCATCTTCAAAAACGCAACCTGGAAAAGGAACTGGTAAGACAAGGGCACTTTGAATATCTCATGGAAAACATAATTAAAAGACAACTTTATTTTGGTGTAAAATATTAAAAAGTCCATATCTTTTTTTATAAATTGCATTTTTTCCACAAACTTTTTAGAGACCTCTCTATATGAAAGTTTGCTCCTGCTTGAAACTCAAGAATTCTAAATTTTAACTTTACATTCTTTTCATTTAAGTATCACTATCAAGTGTGAATTAAAATAAGAATCACTTACTTGGCATCAGCTATGTACTCTCTGAATCTGGTCCTACAATTATAGCAAAGGTTACTAATAGGTAATGCTTATTGTGACGATTTTTTTACCATGCAGGCTAATAGTCCAGCTTTACTTAAAACCAAGCTGTAACCCTTCACAGCAGCAACACTGGCAGGAGTGTTGACTGGTGTGGTTGCTGCAAATCTATTGTGGAGGCTCCAGTGTAAAATTATGCCAGTGGTGACCCATATTCACAGCATCTCTGAAGTAACACATTATATATGGTATTAAGATTCAATACAATTAATACATGAGCCAAGTTCAATGTGCATGTGGGTGTGTGTGCTTGGTAATGACTGCTTCCAGACATCAAACTTCTGCAAAACTTCAACTAGCAAGCCTAGAACCAGTCAAATACCAGAAGAAGAAGAAAGGAAAGAAGGAGGGAGGTGGGAGGAGAGAGGAGAAGGAGAAGAAAAAAAAAAAACCAGGGTATTTACACTGGAATGGGAAAAGAAATGCAGCTCATTCGTACTGTAGGTGCAGGCTCACTCTCAGGTATAAAGAAACATGGTCTGCCATCAACATGACACAGATTTCAGGGAGAAGTGATAACTCACCTGAAGGGGAAAAATACTCAATTTGTATAAAAGATGTCAGTAAAAATAAAAATATGACTGCTCAGACCATGTAGTGCTGAGGTAAATGACCCCCCACCTAATACTTCAATAGCCCCTGAGGATATTATTGTATTTCAGTGCAGTACGGTGGCAGACCACCATCACCACTGTGAATCAGCTGATGTGTATTATTTAGAAGGCAGTGTATTAACTAATGTAGTGTAAGAAGATTTTTTGCTGAATCATTACTTTTCAAAAAGTTCTGCAGCTTTAGTTTATCCAGAAAATAGCTACTGGAAACAACTTTACCATTTTTGTTTGTTTTGTACAATGTACTTTGTCTCTACCTTTCAAAGCCTTTTAAAATACTGATTCATTAGGCTCAGAATAATTGCAAGGAAGTATCTTTACTATTATTGCTATTTACAACTAGATGCTCTTAAGAATTAAATTTAATTATATCATGTCAGCTGATAAAATTAGTTGCCTTATTAAACATTGTGTTTACTTATCTGCTGTATAAGTTTTTGGCTGTACTGTGATGTCTCCTGAATTACTATAAGATATCACTCCTGGCTTGTGATAAGTTATCACCTATATTATTATATTATTTAAAAAAGCTGAGCTACAAACATAGGTATTAAGCCTCTGAAGAGATCTCGTGTTGAACAAGAGGAAGAAACCAAAATTCCTGATTCATTAATTACTTGTTGAACATCACAATGTCATGGATGTAATCCAAGGGTCTTGGAGGATTCTTAGAAGACAACAGAGTAAGAAGATTTCAGAGAAGTTAAAATCTTTAACTTTTTTTCTTTGAAAATCTCCTGTCACAAGTCACAAAGATAATGTCTCTTTTCAACCAATGAGAAAGCTGTTCTCACACGAGCATAATTAATCTTCTGACACCATGACAAAGAAATTCCTTAAAAGGATTTCTCCGATTTCCTCTCAAGACAGAAGACTGTCTTTATCCATCATCTGTTCTTCCTGATCCCTTCTTTTTGAATATCCACATCAGCAGAATTGTCCATCAGAGGAGACAGCAGGAGGGAAATCTCTGCATGATTGATAGGGCCCCAACGCTCTGCAGGCCTATTTAAGTGCAAGCATCTATTGTTGCAAACTTACTTTACAGCAGTTAAACAAATATAATAGTCACCAATTCAACCATTGTGCAGCTCAGACTTGACGAAAACTAGTAAGTGAAGTTTGCTAATGACAAGGCACTGATTTTGAAGCCAGATAAAAACTAGGCAGATAAATTAGCCTCATGTCTACTCACAAAATTTTGTTTCAAAGCTATGGGACAGTATATGTGTATTAGAAAGTGTTGTATATTACACTGTATGTTGATGGACATTCCCATTTAAAAACAAGTCTACTACTTATATATTATTATGATTTTCTTTTCATCCTAAGAGTCACTCAGTACCTCTTACCTATGTTGTGGCTTTCTAGGGAAAATAAAAATTAAATATGTTACCATCTTAAAAATTGAGCATGTTCAAGAAGAACATGCTATTGAAACTGCCTTAAAAACTTTTTTAGACTCATCATAGTCAAGTTTTTCAAAGAGAGATTAAGTTATGTCTGCGTTCTTACTCCCATCTATAAAAGCAAAACAAAGGCCATTCGAGACTCCTTGTAAGTACCTGCAACTTCCTTGGGAGGAACTAGAAAATCAGAGCAATATAGGTCAGCTTCAAGTAGAGGAACAGAGCACGCTGGGCAAAGTTCCGATCCACAGAAAATGCAAGCCTGGCTCCTCTTTCAAAGCAACCTACTAGAAATGGAAACAGATCTAGAGATTTCACTAAGCTGTTGGAACAGCACATCCAGTATCAACAGCAGAGCTTACAGCATGCTCTGTATTCTTTATAGATGCTGCCAAGAAAGGCCACTTGAGCCCAGACACTAGGACACACTGACACCATCCATCTGTTTGCACCACAGTGACCTTGGCTACTCAGTTCAGTATGCGCCCTGTGAAAATATTTGTTTATCCTTCCAGTCTCCAAATAATGAAACCAACCCTCACACACCAGGGCCACAGCTCATTGGCACTCCTCTTGCTATGGTTAGAAGGACAGGCTGCTACTGCCCGAACCACTGTGGGACTTCCTCTCCAGCTGACTTGCCTCTACTGACTATGGGGAGCCACTGCTGGCTGGCCCACAGCTAGAAGCCACATGTTCTTCAAAAGGTGGCTGTTTTTTTTTTTTCTTAAATACAGAATTGAATTCAGGATTGATTACCCCTTTGAAGACTCATGAAAAATGAGTTATAGCCAATATATAAACCTAGAGAAGCTTTGTAGATAAAAAGGGACACTAAGCAATTAAAATACACCCTCAAAGTCTGCATATAGAGAGGCTAGAAATCAACAGAGTGAACTGGTAAACAAAGTAACACAAGACAGGGAGCTAAATGGGACATGCACACAGCCCAGAGAGACTCAGTGTGTTTCCAGCAGAGGACCAGAAATCTCTTATAGGCTCACATCACCAATGCCACCACACTGCTGGTTCTTTTGTGAATGTCCTATCTTCCCACAAAGATAGTGGAGATTGTTTTTTTTGGAGAACGGAGGGGCAAGAACCAATTCTCATTGGTTTTGTTTGCCTATTATGTATTTTATAGCATCTTGTCAAGACGGAGGTCAGTAAACACTAACAGAATAGAACTTGAGCAAGAAGCTATCAGAGCTGCCCAAGGACAGGGGTACAAGACCCAGGAAGGACACTCTGGGTGGAAAAGCAATGAGGTTCTTGAGATTATAGGATCTTGTGCACAGTGAACCTTCAAGTTAAATTCCTTCTTTTGGAAGATTTATTTTGCTTATTTTAAAGGCAGAGCAATGAAGAGAGGGAGAGACGAAAAGAGATCCTTCATCTGCCAGTTTACTCTCTAAATGGCCGTAATGGCCAGGGCTGGGAAGGGCAAAAGTCAGGAGCATCAAACTCCATCAGGGTCTCCCATGTGGAGAGCATGGACCCAAGTACTTGGGTCATCTTCCACTGCTCTCCCAGGCACATTAGCAAGGAGTAGTCAAGATTTGAACTGACATGTAGTTAAATCTTTGATGAGAAAAGCCCACCAGTGCTCACAAAACAAACAAGAAAGAAAAATTAAAATTTCATTCTTTTACTCATATCTTTGCAAGCCATGAGTCATTTTTAATGTGGTCCATTATAGCATTTTAAGACTAATTGTGCTTACAGTACCAAGTTTAGATTAAGACATATGTCTTGGGCTGGTGCTGTGGCTTAGCGGGTTAAAGCCCTGGCCTGAAGCACCGGCATCCCATACGGGTGCTGGTTCTAGTTCCGGCTGCTCCTCTTCCGATCCAGCTCTCTGCTATGGCCTGGGAAAGCAGTGGAGGATGGCCCAGGTGCTTGGGCCCCTGCACCCATGTGGGAGACCCGGGGGAGGCTCCTGGCTCCTGGCTTTGGATCGGCTCAGCTCTGGCCATTGTGGCCATCTGGGGAGTGAACCAACAGATGGAAGACCTCTCTGTGTCTACCTCTCTCTGTAGCTCTGTCTTTCAAATAAAAAAAAAAAAATCTTTAAAAAAAAAAAAGACGTATGTCTTATTAAGACAATGTCTTAGCCCAACTCCTGCACTTCCAAGACTGCAAGTGATTCAGCCGCCCTCTGCCTAAGTTAACTCATCTATAAAGTCGGGATAATAATATTCATATCTAAACTTCACAGGGTAGTTGGAACAATGAAATATAAAATCCGGTATTTGACAAATACTCAATACACGGCAACTGATTATTGTTTTTTCTCCTTTGGTCCCACTTTCTCCCCTCACACAATTCTTTCTTAGTAGAAAAATTTTTTTCATTTGAAAAGCAGAGAGACAGAGAGAGACATCACATCTCTACTGGCTTACTTCCAAAATGCCTGCAATAGCCACAGACAGTCCAGGCTGAAACCAGGGGCTTGGAACTCAATCAGGCCTCTCCCATGGGGGCAGGGACCAAGTACTTGGGCCATTACCTGCTTTCTCCCAGGGTGTGCATCAGCAGGAAGCTGGATCAAAAGCAGAGATGAGACCTGAACCCAGGCACTCCAACATAGGGTGTAATAGCCCTACTGCTGCACCAAACACCCACCCACCCCTCAGTCACACAATTCTCTAAGTGG